TGAATAAAACGGTCTATCAGATTAACAATAAATCATGTAAACATGGCAGTCAGAATATTTTGAATAGTATCTCATCACTCAAAGCAGAAATGCATCACATGTAAGTTGGATGAACAAGAGCATTCAGCTTAGCTTGCTTCATTTAGACTAAGCTAATCCTTACTAGCATTAGCATGTATGCTAATGGGATGGTCAGCGGGCATAAACCACCCCTCTAGTTGGATTAAAACAATATTTCAATCAATTCAATCTCCCTATTCTAATTCACATTTTTTATTGGATTAATCTATTATTGAAATAATTGTAAACTAATCTGGTAATCCAATCTTTACCTAGAGCTATAGTACACAGACACTAAAACAAGCAGTTTGCCAAAAGAAAGACCTATTATCAGCAAAATTTCTGACATAATTGAAAAGTTTTTTTTAATCAAAAACGATATATCTATTCATCAGTCAGCTGATCTATTGTATGATGATCCATGGGGATCTTTCTGCTGCAGGCGCGCTGGCGTGGAACGGGGAGCAGCTCTCGTCTGGTAGTCGGGACAGAGTCATCCTACAGCGGGACGTCCGAACGCCGCCCTCTGCTGAACGGAGGCTGCAGGGTCACAGGCAAGAAGTCTGTGGCCTTAAATGGTCTCCGGACCACCAGCACCTGGCTTCTGGAGGCAACGACAACAAGGTAAGGCATCTTAAGAAGCAGTTGACACTAGCAGAGTCTACTGCCAGCATCAACCAGCCACTTATTGGGGTTGGTGGCTGGTCTGTTTCATCTTTGCAGCAGTATTTTAACCCCTGAGGTTTTAACACAGCAGCATCCAGAAAGTCTTCCTCTTCCTGTCCTCTTTGTTCAGTTACTGGTGTGGAACAGCTCCAGCCTTGTCCCTGTGCAGCAGTACAGCGACCACCTGGCAGCGGTGAAGGCTATCGCCTGGTCACCTCACCAACACGGGCTCCTGGCCTCAGGTGGCGGCACAGCTGACCGCTGCTTGCGGTTCTGGAACACTCTGACGGGTCAGGCGCTGCAGAGCACAGACACCGGGTCGCAGGTCTGCAACCTGGCTTGGTCCAAACATGCCAACGAACTGGTGAGGAGACTGAAGCGCGCTCTGGATGATGCTAGCATCCTCAGGATCTAGTTATTTCTTTAGGTTTAAAGATGAATGAGATGTTAGATTATTAAAGATCGTTTTCACAGAAACTTGTTTCCTGATTAAATAAATAAATATTGCCATTAGTAGTTTCAGCTCTTAGCTTTAGTTCACAGTACTGACTCTTTATGTCTCATCATTTTACTTGATTCACTTCCTGTTCAGAATTAGTTATTTTCTATGCAGGTTAACCTTTGCTGATTTGTAGGAATAGAGAGTATGATGTAGAGATTTTATAGTTTATTTTTGATCAGTGTATTCCAAAAAATTCAACCTGCTGAAATTGAGTTTGGCATTTTATGGTTTCTCTCAAGAAAACAATTAACAGTAGATTAGTTCTTCCTTTTTTATGCATATTGGATCAAATAAACATAACATTTTTAATAGGAAAATGAAGCAAAGATTTCTCCAATACACTGACTTATTTTTTTTCTGTTTCGCCAAATACAGCAGCTCTCTAATATCCCTTTTTCACTGTTCCTAAAACACCAGAAGCTGTGGAAGTGTGACCTTTTACAGGACGTTAACAATTCTTTATGAGATCTTTTTAAATTAAAAGCAGGTCAGACTCAAGATTTGTAAGAAATGATTACTTATTTCTAGAATGTTTTTGAAGTGAGGATTACTGTCCTTAAATGTTCTCTAAAAAAAAAAAGTGCTTTATTTTGGCCAACTGCCTTAATTGAAATAATTGAAATAAAGTTGTCTTCAGTTACTTGAATCTGGCTGTCAAATTTAAGATCGGTTTTCACTTTTACAGCAATGTTAGTAATGACTGACTTCCTGTACTGGTTAAAGTAACTTGGGTTAATGGAGGGAGCATCAGATGTGCTGCTGAAAATCATGACCTCTGTCCTAGTCTCATTAAATTAAAAACCTGTATTGATCATCATCAATCTGATTATTTCCGAACTCCCACCCAGTTAAATCAAACTGTTTATTCATTATTTGTGTTTTTTGTGTGCAGGTTAGCACCCATGGTTACTCTCAGAACCAGATCCTGGTGTGGAAGTATCCGTCTCTAACACAGGTGGCCAAGCTGACAGGACACTCCTACAGAGTCTTATATCTGGTAGGTTTATAGTGTTATGAGCAAATAAGAAAAAGTAAAGTTAGCAGGAAAGGTTGGTGTTTTTGATTATTGCATTCTGAACAGGACTTCAGTGTAGATTTCTGCAAAGTTTAGCACCTTTTCATCTCTGTAGGTGTTATTTGCAGCAGGGTTTGCTGATCGGTTGCCTGTTTTCACAAAGTCATCTCCTCTTACGCTGTCCTCCTCAGGCTGTGTCTCCAGACGGAGAAGCCATCGTTACAGGAGCCGGGGACGAGACGCTTCGTTTCTGGAACGTCTTCAGTAAAACACGATGCACAAAGGTACGGCAAAATGGTCGCCCAGTCCAGTTCATTTCATTCCTAGTGACCGATGTTCCCTTTGCGCATGTGCATTCCTGTAATTATTAGGGGTGTAAATAATAATCGTTTTGTATCGATGCATCGATCCAACAGCCGACGA